AAGAGTGTGCAAGCAAGTTTCAGCCAGTGCTGAATGATCCCAATTTGGGTCTACTCTGAACATTATTTTTTATTTCTCACTTGAGAAATGGCAAAAAGACAATTCAAGTTTTATTATGTTTTTAAATCTCACAATACAGAATTTTATATCTTAAATTGTTCCTCTTACATGCTAGGAACAAAAATGCCAACATTTCCTCTGAAGAAAGTATATGTTCATGAAAGATGAAAGGTCTTTCCTATGCCGGTTAGAATGGTTTGACCCTTAACGTCAAAAGATGTGTTACTGTCATTCCAACAGGACCGAATTTTATGAGGGAGGAACTGGTACTGGCCTTTGAAAAAAATGTTCCCAAAAATGTCTATGGCAGCATTAATTCAAAAATGTTAAATAGCTGTTTGCGGCAGATCTCCTAACATCAATCTTCTTTCCTTCATATGGGTTCTATTCTAGAACAAAATAGAAAAATAAATGAATGAATAACTTTGCAGAGCTATTGATAATTGAGAGCGCCTAACAACAGACTGCAGTGAGGATTGATTGTCAAATAACTTTTCAACCTTGCATTTACCTATATCCGTTTTGAGAAACAAGTTAGATTTATCATTTCTTGTTTTAACAATTACAATTTAGTGTTTACATATTAATCATTTCCAAGTCTCTTTCTTGGAAAACTTTGAGACAAAATTGTTTTTAGTTTTTTAAAACACAAAACCTATATTTTAGTTACTTTTTGTTTTGTCCAGAAATTTCCTGGTTTTTGTCTTTGTAATTTTTTCTTGTTAAAATTTAACTATAGTGAAGATAGTATTTATGTTTACATTTTGAGTGTGAATGTGCCTGGCTAGAAAAACTGCATACCTTAGGATCATTTGACCTTGTAATTGGTTCTCCAATAGCAGATTTGGGAGAGCATTAACACTGGTGAGACTTTTGTGTAGAAAGAACCAAAAAGTTTTTGCTTTGGGGATGCAAACTAGAGGTTATGTTGAAATCCTCAATGCATTTTCTATGTTCCTGGGAGCAGTGCCCTCCCCACATTTTTTAAAGACCAGGCAGAGTAGTATTACTGAAGGGTTATTGAGGTTGGTAGGGAGTAAGAGGTTTTGAAAAAAAAAGTTGGTTGTGATCAACAAATAATTTAGGAATGTTGATTTTGGCTGTGCTGCAGCATTCCAAACATGGCTAGCCTCTCCATAGTTCCCTATAACTGGGGCTAGGGCAAAAATGCAACTTCAGTATGTGGGCTCTGTTTATTAGTATCCTTTTAAATCAGAAAGCAGTGAGCTTAGCCTTAGAACCAGTCAGTTAATTAATTAAGTGTGGGCCATTCACAAGGAAAACCCATTGACTTAAAGACCTGCTGGTAGGTGTGACATTGGGAGTAGTGGTCTTTCCTACCCTGTATCTGCCTGTCACTGTTCAGAATTCCAAAAAGCCTATTATTTGTAAATGGGGAACAAAGAAGCCAAATCCTTGTATAGCTAGTAAGAAACAGTTTTAGAGACATCTGTTTGGAAAGTGCTATTCACATATTCATAAACACTAATCTGCTTTGACTATAATCATCAAAAGGCACTTCCACCATTAATTTCATGGTAAACTTTTTAAAAAGGATTCTGTTGACTAGATCCAAAGTGCTTAAAAATGTTAACCATATTCTTGTTTTAAACTCTCTAATTTAATAAATTTAATTATTTGATAGTCATTTTGTAGACTTGAGTTACCCCATACTAATAGTAATAGTATAGTAATTTATCAGTTCTTTAAGGTATTTAGGCATTTGAGACAAGAAAGGTCTTTTAGAATGGTCCAACTACTTCTTGAGCAGTATTGGTTTCATTTAGACAGTTTCAAAGCCAACAAAGCATGTCCGTTTTAATGCCAACTTTACTTGGCAATCTAGACAAGTTTGTATTTATAAAAAGTTTAGGTTGAATTACCCTTAAACCTTTCTAGAGAATTGTTAGTAACATTAAAGGTAGGAATGCTTTAAAGTAACCAGAGAGAGTGGAAAGAATTGATTTTTTTTGTTTGTTTCCTCTCTTTTTTTGAGTGACTTTGAATGACTAAAATTAGTATGGAAGGTTTTGGTGCTCCTTTTACTTTGCCCTGATCAAATGTCACCAATTTCAAGTAACTAAAATGTTACCAGTTACTTTTTTTTCAAGTTCAGTAGAAATATCTACGAAGCATATAAGCCATATTTCAGCTACCAATAGTTGGCTTTTAGAATACTTTTTACCCTAAATTAACCACAGGACTTTTTATTCAGTATACTCTTTCAACATATGGAAGTCTTGTGCCTGGTATGGCAGGAGAGGAAACACCGTGTTAATTTCATTGTTGTTTCAGGTCTGTTTCAATCTGAACTATTACATAGCCAAATGATATTATCGGTTAGTAATGTCATCTTAAAAATGTTTAATAATACTTTACTCAGAGAATCTGTGGATTTTTAGGACAAGAGTATTTCTGATTTAGAACTAAGGAAGTGGAAACTGGTACTTAATGGGGAAAGCAAAGTTGGCTTGAACTTAAGTGGGCATGTTTCGTTTTGAGAGTTTTACCTAAATGTCTCCCTATCCACAGTGAAACTAGTATTACTTGAAGGTATGAAAGTTCCTGTGGTAGCCATACCTTGAAGCACAGTATTGTACATAAGTAAATATCTTGATTCTAAATTAAATCCAGATTTAACTAATATATATTATTTTATATCTTTGTTGTATTAAAATGTTTAAAAACACTACAAATAAAACATTTGAAAGGTGGATTGTGGTTTCTTATTTAAATATCTTTGTATTATTAACAAAGCTGGTCTCGTTCTTTATACAGTGAATTTTAATTTTTGCAAATAATTGAGCTCTGCGGGTTTAAATCGGTAGTACCTAGTCCTTGGCATTACTAATTCTTAGTTGTATATTAGATAAATGATTTGACCTTTCTTCTTTCTTTTCTGTAAACTAGGTAAGAAAAGTAAGCCTCCCGAGGGTATTCGAATAATTATATTAATAAGTTGAGACAGAGGAAATAAAAGCAAATAATTACTTATTCTTAAACACATTAAAATTATTTGTCTTTGGTTTATTTGAACTGTGGATTATATAGGGAGATGCCGTCATCATATCAGGTGAGCTTTGGAGACAGTGATGAACGGGGAAGAGAAAGATTGTTAGTGGTAGCTCAGACGCCCAGGACCACGCAGTAGTCGGAATACTGAGCATTGTCACGGGTTCCGGACTATATAGGTTTAATCTATGACTAAATCTGCCTCTCTTTATTTATAGGAGGGCATGTGTGCTGCTGGGAAAAGAGAGGCAGGCAGGGAGGAAGCAAGAAACCACCCCCCACACCATGGGGAATAGTCAAGTCAAAATCCCTTCTGTTTTATTTCTCCCTCGTTTCAGGATTTGGGGCGTCCACACATGCCTGGTATGTCTTTCAAGCCACCAGATCCAAGATTCAAACTGCACAGTCAGCCATGGCCTTAACCACCAGGCAGGCTGTGGGCAGTCCTAGACCTCCCTGCCCACTTGATCATTGCTAATATGCAGCCTCTGTGGTGCTGACCCAGCTGAGATTTCCCGGGAACTCTGGGAAAGAATAGTCCAGAACAGACTTTAGGGCAGCCTGGTACACTGGGAAACACACTGGATTTAGACTCTGAGGGCCTTGTGTATGAGTTGTATCTACTGCCACTGATTAAATTAGATTTTTCCTTTAAGCCTTCACTTAAGGAAAAAAATGCCTACTTCATAAATTATATTGAAGGCCAGATTATTAAAGTACTATAGCTTTGCTGGCTCCATACTTAATACATAATACTGATACATGAGTTAAATTTAGGTAAATAAAATAGGGCAGTGCCCCAGATAATTAGTAATCTAGCTGGAAGATGACATAAAATGACAACTTAACAGGACTCATTGGTGGAACATATTGTTTTGTTTTGTTTGGGGGGGGAGGTTTTTGCTATAGGGTGCATGCACTTGTCAGAAAGACGGAGACAGACAGACAGAAAGCGAGAAATCACCCCCCAGGGGGGATAGCCACACCACAATCCTTTCTCCTCCATTCTCCTCTAGGGATATTGGGCATGCACGTACATGCACTCGGCATGAGTTTTAGCCGCTGGGTATGGAACTCGAACCACGGTCAACTACATGGGAGTCCAGCAACATAGCCATTATGCCAACTGCTGGTCCCCTGATTGGTGGTTTTAAAATAGCGTGTCTGAACATCTTTAGGGGTAGGAAAGAGAGGTGGAGATTTCAGTTGACTATCATCCAGAGTTGGTGTTTTATTTTAGGGTGTTTGTTTATGTTTTTTTTCCCAATTATTTATTTATTTTTAATTTAACAAAAGAGGGACAGAGTGAGAGAGAGAGAAAGTGAGAAAGCAAGCCAAGTCACCAGGTCTGGGACTCAAACTGCAGTTGGCCATGTGAGAGTCCAGTGCCTTAACCACCACACCACCTGCTGGCCCCCAGAGTTGGTGTTTTACATATTAGGGTTTCTTAGTAGCCTTTTCAT